ATCACTGTCAAACGTCACCACTACGTGTCTTTCTTTGTGCTGTTGGCGAGCTATTTATTTGTGTTTGTTTGCATGCGTCCGGGAATGGTCCTGCTATTTATTGATGTGGCTGTCAAACCTAAGATGCACGCCCCTCCCCGAGGCATTCAGAATCATTTAGTTGATATTTAAAGTTTTTAAAGAGTGACTGTTACTCTGTGTGCTCGTGCGTTATTGTCCATGCTCTCCATCCCTGCCCTGTAACCTGCAGCGATGCGAGATATGTTGCCTTAAGAGAGTCCAGTTGAGCCTCCTCTCCTTCCTTGTTCTGTCCATCCGTCCGTCAGTCATCCATTCCTCCTCACACTCGTTCCTTTTCCATAATTTTTGCGCCGCCGCAGGTAAAATGCAGGACAAGAATGTTACGGTGGCCCAGAGAGCTCAAAGTACTGAAAACACCCAGAGAGAACACAACAGAACAATGGTTTAAATCACTAAATGGAAATAAGGTAACACATTTTTAGGGTTTCAAGCTCCAATCGGATGAAACCATATTGCTTTTGTGTTGGTTTATTATTATTATTTGTCTGCTGCATTGGCTCAAAATGCCAGGAGCTGGAATGAGCTAGAAAGATGAAACCTGGCTCAATAACTGAAAATCACGTGCGTGTGCTTCCAAAGAAATATGAGCCCATTTGGCCAGATGGTGGCCACGCCCCTCATACTGGAAATGCGATTGACTTGAAATTGGACATACAGCTTAATGCCCTCTACAAAAAGTCCACCAAACGAGATTTTCCGGCATTTAGAGTTTGACACTTCCTCCTAAACTGTCGATCCGATTGCTACGAAATCGTCTGTGAATCATCACTGGACAAAGCTTATCAAACACTGCATAAGGCTTGTTGATATCTTATTTAGTTTTCAAGATATTGACCAGTGAACTTCCGAAGGGGCATTGCTCAGCACATAAATAGACATAGGTCAACAACAGTTGGACCAACCATCACAAAACTCACAGGACATGTCCACATAAGTACCCAAAAAAATACCCTGAAAGATTAATTTATATTGACCACTGGGGGGCACAACAAATGTTAAAAAAGGGGGAGTGGCATAATACAAATCAAATTGTTTCGAGTCACATATTATGACTATTATCTGAACTGGTAGGGTGATAATCACCAAAGGTAATGTTAATTTAACAGCAAATATTATTATATATTATATTATTAGCAGTAATATCTCAAACAATCGGAATGTTAAAACTGAATAAAACACCACTGACAGATAGTCGACTTCATGGGCCACAAACCACAGCAACAAATCACTTTTTAGTGTCCCCTGGAAACAGTTTTGTGCGGCTTTTCTATATTTTCTTCTAAATGCTGCACGCCGTTTTCTTCATTTGCTTGTGTCTTTTTACATGTTTTTAGAAGTGCATTGAGCTTTCTGGGCCACTGTAGCATGTGATTACAGACAGTCCTATGCACACACACACACACACACACACACACACACACACTAATGCAAGCATAAAATGGAGGCCTATGGAAGCCGGTCCTCTGTAGCAAAAACCATATAGGACCCTCTGAAGGAGAGAGGGAGGATGGAGGAAGACAAACGTGAGGAGGAGGAGGAGTTGACAGAAATAGAGAATCTGATGTATCGTTCTCTGAATGTAAATAGAACCTTGAGATTGTCATTTTTTAATTTCCATTGCTTCTTTTTATAAGATGATCAAATTGTAATTTTTTTTATTATGCTCTGTTTGAGTTTGTGCTGCAGCGTTTCCTTCGCTGGCCTTTGTATCATACTACCCCCACCCCCAACCACCTCCCACCATCATCTCCTCTTAGGTTTACCTTGTGTCCATTAGTAGCCCAGAGACATTTAGAGAAGACTAGAATCATAGCGAGAACAACCACCCCTCCCTTCATCCAGTTTCTTTATAGCGCTTAGAGATGCAGCAGATAATATTGATTATTAAGAATTCATGTCATATATGTCAACATTTATACACCTCGCTGAGGCAGCGCTGTGATGCGTCGATGTCTTCTGCAGCCCCGGATGGAGCGATACCGGAAATCGATCTTAATACTTAGAGGGTTTATTTTTGTGGTTTCACTGCGTCGGACAAACTCGGTCTGACACATTATGTGAAGCAGGATCACCAACCAGGGACTTGCCATGTGTTTTGGACCCAGAGCTGAAGTTTGTTTGTAATGTTTGTGGAGCAGAGAGGGAGCAGAGAAATGAGCCTGATGAGTCATTTCACACACAAGGAGCAGAGAGACTTTCTATTTTATTGTATCATTGTCAACAAATCCCATGAAAAGACCAAAACCAACAATGTGTTAGTCCGTCTCCTCGATACTTTCTGAATTCCTGTTTGTATCTCTCGGCTCCAAGCCCATTGGTTCCTACTGCTGGTCACTGTTCTGACTATTTCCAGCAGCAATTAATCCACATTTGGTGCTTTAGTGAGTATTTGGAGCTGCAGGACTGTGTACATGGGATTGAGTCAAAATAAACTACAGTGTCTGTGTTCATTTTAATGAAAGAAAATGTCTCATATGTCCCATATTAAAATAACCAAATTAACAGCAGAAATAAACATGTTTACAGCCTGGTACAATAAACCATTTTAGTCTATGGTTAATTAACCCCGTTCATGACAACTGTACGGCAGGTGAATTTTTATATAACTCACCTGTTTAGATCATATAAAGGCTTACATTTATTAATTTAAGAGTATGGCTGCTTTGATTGTCTTTGCCCATATTTGGATTATCCAGGAGCCGGTGGAGTCAGGACTGCCAAGATGCCGACCACACTGAGCTTCTCAGTGGCTCCTCAGTAACCTGACGTGTAGACAGGGAACAGAGTTTTTGTCTTGTGATGTAAGAACGTTAAACCCTGTTTTAAAAATACCTGTATACCTGTGGACTAAGTCTGGACTGCTGCTTAGTGTGGACATAGGTTGTAGGTTTCCAGTTTATCAGTAAACTCACCATCCAACATGATCGCAGGATGTTTGCCATGACCATGAAAACGTTTCTCAGTCCAACATGTTGCCTTGTTAAACGCCTCCCAGGTCTTGGCCCAAGCTCCTGTCTTTCTCTCTGCTCCTGACGCTGACTGTACAGCTGTCTGTCTGTCTGTCTGCGTCTGTCTGTGCTGTCTGCTTGCAGCCTTTTTTACTACATATAAACCACCGTGGGGGGGGGGGACCCACAAAAACTAGTAAAAAAAATAATGAAATAAAGACCAAAAAACTTAGGTATTAAATGAATAACCATACTGCCTACAAAACAACCAAACAACAGGCTATTGCTCAGTTAAGAATGATGCGGTCAGTAATTGTATCGAATCGGAGGTTGATGAAGTGTGATCAGATAACACCAATAAAAATAATCGAGTATCACAGGACTCGAGCAGGGACATGATAACAGTAAGGGGGGGGGGGGGGCTGCGTTGTGTGTGTGTGTAGGGAGGGGGGACAACGGGGTTCAACAAAAACACACATACACAGAGGGGAGGGGGTTGGGGTGAGGGAGGTGTGGGGGTTTGTACTGCAATATTGAGGTGTGCTGATGTTGTACCTGCTTGTTGCATTGTGCGCTGTACTGTAGCTGACAAACTAACCCCAGACTGTCAACTAATAAATAAACATGGACTACGCATATCCTGAACAGACCTGAGCGCCAGGTGCTTTTCTTCTGTATGTGTGTAAGCGTGTGTGTGTTCTTGTGTGACTGTCTTTGTGAGGACTAGTTTGAGGCATTGAAAGTGAGGACATTTATGCAAAGTCAGGACATTTTGGCGGTTTCAGGATTGAGAGTAAATTAATAGATTAAATTAATAGAGTTAATTTTCAAAATCAGTTTATCATCAAAATGTTTAGTTTTATCTTAGTATTTATAGTTTTAGTATTTTTAATTATACTATGGGGTGTATTTAAGAAGTTTAGACAAGGTTTTACAATTACAACACAAGTACAATACCAGAGGTAGCTGTACTTAGTTTACTTATGTAGTTTTTCAGGTAGCTATACTTGAGTATTTATTTTTAGTCCCTATGTTTTACATAAATATCTGTACTTTCTACTCCTTACATGTTCAAAACAGATTTGTTACATTATTTTTAATGCATTTGACAAGTGAGGTTAGGTCAGACATTCCTCTTACTAATCTGTGTATACATATATTTTACACTTGCTTTGGCTCATGTAAATGTTTGCTATGCCAATAAAGCCTTTTTTAAATGAATTGAATTAAACTGAACTGAACTGGTATATTAGTTTATCCAGCAGTGCACTGTGATTTACAACACTGTGGCAAAGTAAGCGAGAAAGAAGCAGCTCTCAGCAATGCCAACTAGTATTGGCTGACAATGTATATGTGAAATTATTTAACATGTTAAACAATATTTTTGAACTGGTTATGAAATCACTTTATTACTGATGCTTTCATATGGCCTACATAAACAAACAAGGCCATCAGCAAGAAAACTGACTATTTCTATATAGTTATTCTTAGTGGCAGTGGGTAACTTTAGCTGGTTGTTGAGTTCCCAGCATCAGTATAGGACAACCTGGGAATGAGACTCAGCAACCAACAATCTTTCTCGGCCGAACCCACAATTTGAGAACCACTGGACTAAACAATCATTAGATTAATCAAAAAAAAAAAACCTGGCAGATTAATATATATATAAGATATAAATGTGATATATCAATGCCTTGAAATGATTAATAAGCATTTACCACAGTGGCAGTCAAACACTGTAGTCAAACAAAATGGTATCAGATGTGTTTGAAATCCCTGAAAAGTGATTTGCATTATTTACCTAATATGTAAATAATTGTTTCCATGTAACCAGATGATACTGAAGTACTGTAAGCTGTTTGTATGTATAACCTGATGAGATATTTTAACAGCTGCAGTCACACCTCAGAACAAACAGAGAGTCAACAAAGATGCATATTTTTTTTCTGTTCAGTGTGTTTCACATGTTTTATATTTGTTTATATTGTTTTACAAAACTCTTATCAGAACGTTTATGATGTAATTCAGTTATATAATACTTTTGTATTGCACTGTGTGTGTCTGCTCTGTAGTAATTATATGTCACTGGTTGATGTTGTTCTGGCTAACAGGAGCTAATTGGCTAAATTAGCAGCTGTTTAGTTTGCTAGTTTAAGAGAGGCAGGACACATGTGATTAGCTGAAAAGTGAGAGGGCAGTGACACCATGAAAAATAACAGCAAGAAATCCAGTGTGTTGTAATTCAAGTGTGAAATAAGACATGAAATAAAAGTGTCATTGGGCCTAGTGAAGCTGCAAAAGTGCCTCCTCTGATGCCCCTGTGGTCCGTGGTGCAGTGCAGGGCATATGCAGGTATACAAGTACAACCAATCCTGGGTCAGGGTTAGTCTGCAGTGGGTACAACCTCTTCTGAACCCCCTCTGATGTAAATCATTCAGCAGAGTAGGATGGCGAAGGTATGACACAGCTGTCCAGTTTTCATGAATTTAAGGATACTTCACTCACACTGCATTACTCTGTAGTCTGTGGGCCAGTATTGATTACAACATCTGCTCCTCCTCTGTGTCTTGTGTTCATTTCATAATCATCATTAATGCCTGAGTTAAATGACAATGTGCAAACCCTACTGGCCCATTTGATCTATATATGCAAGAGTAGACTCCATTATACACACTTCTCCAGGCAGAACTACACGCAGCCGGTGGGGGGGAGACACATGCATCCTCCAGGCTGCCCTTCAAGTGGTCTCAAAATTGTACTTAAATACAG